CAACAGAACCTCCTCTTGACACATTATAGTATTCACTCATGAAATAAAACATTACAATAGAACCTCCTCTTGACACATTATAGTATTCACTCATGAAATAAAACATTACAATAGAACCTCCTCTTGACACATTATAGTATTAGCTCATGAAATAAAACATTAAATCTTCTTATATTTCAGATCCGCTTGCAGAATCATTGCCAGAATCGTAAGTACGATACATACACAAAGTAGTATCATGTACATCAAATGTAACCACGTGCATCAAACTGTCATTGTGCAAATCAAGTGTCAACGTTTACATCAACTGTCCCCATAAACATCAAGTGTCATCACGTACATCAAGTATCATCGTACACATCAACTGTCATCATGCACATCAAGCATAATCATACACACCAACTGTTATCATGTACATTAAGTGTTATCTTGTACATCAACTGTCATCATCCAAATTAAGTGTTCTCATCCACATCAAGTGATATAATGCACATCAAATGTCATCAAGCATATCAGGTACATCAACTATCATCATGCACATCAAGTGCTATCATGAATATCAACTGTCATCATGCACATCGAATGTTATAATGTACATGAATTGTTATCATAAACATCAAGTAAATCATATACATCAATGATCATCATACAAATCAAATGTTATCATGCATATCAAGTGTTATCATAGAAATCAAATGTTATAATGTACATCAAGGGGAGGGGGCATAGGTTCTATACAATGTGCATGAGAGGGGCTTCGAAGCAAAACGTTTGTGAACACTGAAGTATGGCATGTGCATCAAATCTTGTTGTTTTGTCTCGAACAATCTTTGTCTGACATTGCACACGAAGAAATGTAGATGGCCACAAACATGTCATATTTATATCTGGAGCTATATCTTCTAGGTCAGTTCAACTTGGCTGATCTTAAGTCCTCAGTTAATTACATATTATACTGGATTTTTCTATTTGTTTGACAAACTTAGTTACTAAAATTCAATTAACTTTATAGGTAAGTACAGACAGGGCCAGGTTGAAATCATCTTAGGAGTAAATCGTAACTAACAAATATCAAATAACCATAAAAAAGAAAGGGTTTTAAGACAAATAAAGCCAAAACACTTTGAATTTAGCAGTCGAGAATATTATTTAACCGTCTTATGTTTCAGAACTGAGTTCTTCTAAAAACTAAACACAATCTGATCTTTCACACTTGATTTAGAATTAAAATGCGCACTTTTTGGCGTATTTAAAAAAAACATCAGTATCAAAGCTTATATAATTTTTGCTGATTACTTTATTAGAATTGTCTCCTAAGTCACATATATTGAATGATAAAGTCTTCAAAAGTATTTTAACCAGAAGATTTTTGAGACTTTTGCTAATTGCTGTTAATCTAAAAACCACAATTACCTTTGTTATTATAAAGTCAGAAAAATAATTAAAATTATATTAAACTAACATGTAACATAAAAGGCAAGTTAGACAGTTAAGATTGGCTTGGTAGCCTCCCCTTCTAGAAATCAAAAATACTTCTAAACCTAGTTCTTCAAGGATAAAAAGAAACTGACCAATTTCTAAACTTAACTTGGATTCCCTACTAAACAAGATGTTTTCTAGAGTAGCTTTATTAATGTTTTTTGCGTCACGTGTTTCAGGCAGCTATAAATATACCTGAAGAAAAGCGGTTGCGTCAGTTTCCTTCAGGGCTTCAATACAGAACTGGAGCAGTCCCGTGGTTTGCTGGAGCTTTGACGCACAAGCTGCTATTTGTTCCCGGAGAGTTTTGATTTTTGAATCTCGTTCTTGATGGACAAACTCCAATAACTGTAATTTTCTTCTGTGTATAGCTTCAATTAGATAGTCACAGTGCGCTGAGATGCTATTTTCAAACTGAACACAGTTGTCCTGGAAAGGAAAGAAATGACACCAAACGTTATTTAAAAAACAAATATTCTATTGAAGTTAAACATTTCTCACACTTATTTCCATGTTCCAGGATTTTATTAATGACATAAGGTGTTCTCCATGACCATTCCAACCATATCATCACTTACTAACCTTAACAGGCTTTAAACGTGAATATTAATCTTTTACCGATTGATGCAAACGCTATTGACTATTAACGATGTGAATATCTGGTCGAAATTTACAACAACCGGTTCCTACATAAACCTTTCGGTTGAGACCTAAAGCTACTATATGCTAAACAATCTTCAGTCAAGACATAACTAATGTGCGCTACATAAACTTCAGGTTGAGATCTATATATATATAACAACCATCTATTAAAGCTGGTCTATACTTACAACTAATGTGCGAGATGGTTGTTATATATATATATAGATCTCAACCTGAAGTTTATGTAGAGGTTGTTTATATATATAACAACCATCTATTAAAGCTGGTCCATACTTACAACTAATGTGAGCTACATAAGCTTCAGGTTGAGATCTATATATATAACAACCATCTATTAAAGTCGGTCCATACTTACAACCATTGTGCGCTACACAAACTTCAGGTTGATATATATGTATGTATAACAACCGTGTATTAAAACCGGTCCATACTTACAACTAATGTGAGCTACACAAACTTCAGGTTGATATATATGTATGTATAACAACCGTGTATTAAATCTGGTCTTGACTTACAACTAATGTGAGCTACACAAACTTCAGGTTGATATATATGTATGTATAACAACCGTGTATTAAATCTGGTCTACTTACAACTGTTAAATTTGATCGAGACTTAGACGAATCGAGTACTATGGAAATGTCTGGATTTTGGTTTTGAAATATACAGCTTAAGAAAGTATACTCGCATAAAAAAATTATCTCAAAATATCCTTCAAACTTTTGTTTTAGTCTAATCCCCCTAATTTTGTATGATATTTTGTTACTTGTAACATAATGCACTTGATGCATTTTATCGCCCATAACTCTAAACTAATCAGAGAACTAAAATATTTGGTATATAAAGCAACGAAATTATGGGAGAAGCGATTCCAGTATTGAAATTAATTTTCACTAGATGGCCTTATTGTGCAATTTGTATACGAGTGACTTTATAAAAGCTGTCAGGATTTATTCTGTTATTAGAAACGACTTTCTGGAAGTTTATCTTTGAACATTAGAATTGTTCTTGTAAAGCATTACTACAATAATAATTAAAAGAAAACATTAATACAGCCATAGTTAACGTAAAGCATTACTACAGTCATAGCTAACTAAAATCTTCCATATGTGGGGCATACAACAAACTCCTATAAACTTTCACTTCATTGCTTTGATCCATTGGAGTGTATCTATTGTTTGTCTCTGTGTGTGCCAAAGTAAGACTTTGTTTGGAGAAACTGCTATATAAATGTGTTCTCTCATCCCCTTAGGGCTATCTTTGAATATACTGAAGATCCACCCTCCATTAACAATGTGGTAGAAAACAACTATAGTTTACTCGTCGTTCCAATAATTAATGATAATTAGTAGTCTAAATAAACTCACAAACAATTAAAGGTTACGGATATTAATTAAATATTTCTTGTTTTGATTTTTTCGAGGAGCTAGTGTTTTTCACGGTTTCACGACTACACTACATATTTATGTTTTGATTTTTTCGAGGAGCTAGTGTTTTTCACGGTTTCACGACTACACTACATATTTATGTTTTGATTTTTTCGAGGAGCTAGCGTTTTTCACGGTTTCCCGACTACACTACATATTTATGTTTTGATTCTTTTTCGAGGAGGTAGTGTTTTTCACGGTTTCACGACTACACTACATATTTATGTTTTGCCTGGTCCAAAAGACTTTT